AAAGTTTTCGGGAAAGGAGTGTTTTTGAACATTCTCTTCAAGCGGGCTGTCTTGACTATCTACGGTAACGTAGATCGACTTGTACAGGTTGAACATACAATTTCGGATAGTTCCTGGCTTCTTTATTCTAAAATTCGATAGGTACTTAACACTCAGATTAAGTAATGACAAGATATTCCATTTCGCTGTACGTGAACAATTTAAGTATCATGACCAGAACCATAAAGTATTTAGCAATCAGATTCAATCCTGATGCATTTCATTGGATTTCAGAGCAGCGAGAATGACATCAAAATCGCTTAGGTACTTACATCACTAGCCAGTAGGTCGTTACCCGATAGAACGACACCCAAGAAGGTGAAGATAGCAGCAACTACAGGAACCACAGGTCCTGAGGCTATCGCCAGACTTTGTGCATATCCAGCCTTGCGTAAGTCGACTTTTTCGCTGTGTCGCATCTCTGAAACCCCAACATTTCATCGTCTTCAACGCTTTGTTTCATACCAGTAAGCACGGACATGAATCTCTTAAGGAATATTTAGTAACAAAATCTACGGTTTAGTAGCACTGGAATCGTTCAGATAATGTTGAATGTAAGTAATGTAGCAACTGATTACGATGAAGAGAAATTGCAAAAATTTGTTCGCATATTTCATACAGTTGATCAATTAATTCATGAAATTTTTCGGCACCAGTCACTGAATTATCAAAATAGCTCTTTCGAATTGTTTATATGAATAAGCTATTGAGTGATACTGAATCATGATTATTGAATTACACAGAATATGTTTGTGTCAGTGGAAATATGAGATAGTGTTGGTGGTATTACTGATTAACGAGATCGTTCAGATTCTCAACGTTTTGCGATGAATTGTCCACATGGGCTTAAATCGCCTGTTTCACTCCTCTCCCAAACGGAGTAATATCTCATAGCATTGCAATGTTCAAAAACATTAGCTTTTTGTTCTATCAAAATCGCTCTCTCAACACGACGTTTTGATCCAGTGGCAGACGTTTGAAAACTGCTTCAATTAAATACTGAGCAAGCATGTTCTCAATTAAAGTGACTGATTGAAAGTAACGAATAGTGTTGAGAATACTCTTGAGAAATTGAATCAATCTTTCAAACAAGAATAATTTGCAAACCTTCAATTTTCTCAGTGAATGTTTCCTCCCAACAATTCATTTTGATCACTCGAATACACCGAATTATTTCACCCATTAAATTTATCTGAATGATCATCATTCATTCAGCTCAATTCCAATGGATGATTGTTAACAAAAACAACTAAAATTGCTCATCATTCAACAAAGAGATCAAATGAATTTATCAAAATTCATCACGAACAACGTCACTGATATTATTTGAT